ATATATATATATATATATATATATATCGCCAGCTGCAACTGTCTTAGTGCGCTTCATGGAAAGGGACTCATTATTGTCGCAGCAAATTGTTCGGTTCAATTTGGTTTATGTGCAGTAAAATTAGGATATATGCATTATAAAAAAATGAAGAAAATATTTAAAAAAAAAGTGTCATAATTCGGTCTCTATCTTTGATTTCTTGAGGAGTAACAGAAAAAGAAAGTCTAATAAATTAATGTCATTAATTTATTGCCACTCACATCGTGTCATAGGGTTTGACTTTGGACAAAGAGCTCATAGCCCAACACCCATTCACGTTGAATGCGAAGGAGAAGAGTCAACTTCAACGATGTGAAGTCAAAAACAACATGAAACGTTGTGCACTTTGGCTTACTGTGCTCGAAAGAAGAAGAAGAAGAAGAACTAATAGTCTATTCGTTGTCTCTGATCAGAAGAAACAAACAAAAATAAGAGATTGGATGTGGAGAACTGTAATTCACACTGTTACCATCCCCTCTCCGACCTGTGGTCCGAGGATGACAAGGTGAGCATCCACTTGCCCAAGATTGGCTTCTTCCTTTGGTGGCTGCCGTCGTCGTGGGCTCGGCCGGAGGCCACGAAGTCCTGCAGCCGCCGCATGGCGACGTCGAGTGTCTCGACCGACATGTTGGCAAAGCAGACGCGGAACCACCCGGGCTCGTCGCAGTGGCAGGAGGAGCCCGGCGAGATGTTGAGCCCCACTTCGTACACTATCTTCCTCCACAGCTCCATCTCCCCCTCCAATGTGTTGGAACGCAGCAAGTGCCTCATGTCCACCCAGCAGAACAGACCCGCATTGCTCTTTAAGCAGCTGATGCCACTCCGCCCAAGGCCTTGGACGAGCCGGTCGTGCCGCTGCTTGATCCTCTTCTGGTTCTCCCCGGTGTAATTGCCTCTGAACTCCTCGTCGGAGAGCAGAGCCGAGAGGAGGTACTGGGTTTGGGAAGAGACGAGGCCGAAGCTCGACATCTTGGTAGCTGCGGCCACCACGGCCTCGTTGTTGGAGTAGATTGCACCCACCCGGAAGCCAGGGAGGCCGAGATCCTTGGAGAGGCTGTATACAACGTGAACGCGATCCGTTACGTGTGCTCTGCCCTCGATAGCCTCCGTGACGCTGACGAACCCGGGCGAGTCGAAGGTCGTTCCGGAGTAGATCTCGTCGCTGATGAGATGGACGTCCTTGGCGACGACGAAGTCGACGAGGGCGTCGATCTCGTTCCGACTCATCGTCGTGCCCAATGGATTGGAAGGATTGGTGATCAGAACTCCTTTTACTATCAGATTACGCTTTCGCGCTCCTTGATAGGCTTTTTCGAGGGCGGCTCTGGTGATTCGGAACCCATTGGAGCTGGAACAGTGTACAGGAACGATCTCCGCGCCGGTACGCCATTTCAGATCCCTGTCAAACCTGTGTTTAGCGGATGTTAGTCGCGGAGTTACTGAGGTTTATGAACAGTGGGAGAGATGATGTGTTTACCCTGGATAGTATGGAGTAGGAATAAGAAAGGCCTCGCCGGGTTCGGCGAGACAGAACATGAGAATCTCGTTAGCAGAGGTGGCTCCGGCGGTCAGGACAAGCTTTCGCGGATCGATCTCGATCTTGTTGCCTCTTAAATCGCCCATGAGATCCGCCAGTGCCTGCAGACGTACGTTGTGCAGAACGTGAAGACGGGATCTCAAAGAAGCGCACGCATCGCATTACCATGCGGCAAAAGAGAAGCGCGACATCCCTCTCTATCTGTTCGAACCCAGCACTTACTCTCTTGAACTCAGGTAAGCCATGGTAATCCTGGAAGAGAGCCAGCTCTCGGAACACGACGCGGCCGTCTCTTCTTAGCCCCGCCGCGTCGGGGTGTCGCTGCAGCCACGACTCGATGAGATCGAAAGAGAGCTGCACGATCGACAGGGTAAGAGTAAGCGAGAGAGAGAGAGAGAGAGCCGGCAAAAGATGATGGCGATCCACGGAATGCGAACCTGGTTCTCCGCCAGGCCCATCTGAATGATCCCGGTGGGGTTGGTCTTCGGATCATACGGGTCGTTCTCATACTCCTGCAACCCCAGGAAGTACGAGGAGTCCTGCCCATGAGTGTTGCACGCAGCCTTCATGGAGAGTAGCATCTGGGCCATTGTGGCTCTGCAGGGAACGAGCGTCGGAGAGACAAGACGGGAGTTACGCTTGCAGGGGTTGGACATGTTTCGATTATATAGAGAACGCAAAGTTAAATGCGGCTATTAACCTCCAAACAATATATATATATATATATATATATATATATATATAATCACTGTTACAAAAATGCGAAAGACTATTAAATCGATCTTCCATCTGTATCTAAAAATGACCTAATCCTTAAAGAATATTAAGAAATAATCATATGAGCAAACTATAAGTGACTCGAATATTAATAAAAACTTATCACAGGTAAATATTTTATTTAAAACATATGAGTTATTTATATATTCAATATATGCTTTTGAAATGTGCATGGGTATCGAATACTTTATTCATACTTAATCAATTTACACAAAAACTTTATCTTCGCATGTATTTTAAATCATATAAATAATGCTTAGGATACTTTTCCGAAAAACATACATTTAATTATTATTTTTTTCATAAATAAACATAAATATAGTGGATTCATAAACACAGGTACATGTCAGAATAGAAATCACAGTAGTATTGATAGTTATAATCACAATATATTTCTATTATAAAACTTAAAATCATGTTTTATAAGTATTATATATTCATATGTCAAGGACAAAAAAAATTAATCTCTGAATATACAATCAATATATAATCCTCATTGATAGGATTCAGATCATAATTATATTAACCACATACAACTATCATATCATGGAATATAATATCAATTATTTTCTAGAAAATAGTTTCAAAAATTTTTTTCATGTTATTTTAATATGATGAAACCGTATATCATTTAAATTAGATACTAATTATATATTTTTTAAATCTTTTTTTCAAATACAACAACCATTTTTAAAAATCGATAAACATTTAGTTTAATAAAAATATTTTCATGGTAACCAACATATATAATTTTAAATAACAAAATACTTATAAAATAATAAATAATGATTCAAATAAAATGGTTTTTGAAATTACCAACATATATTTTTTTTGTAATTCTTTTAAATAATAAAATAACTTGTAAATCACATAAATCATGTATCTATAAATTCAAACACATGCATTCTTTTGTATGAAAGCAGACTCAACAAAGTCATCCAATTCTTACTCGAATTGTTTATCCTCGATATAATTATTCAGATGCTTCCTTTTATTTTCTTATTTTTCCAACATGACAATTTTTCTTCTTTTATTTCTTCATAATATAAATATTAAATTATTTAAGAACATCATAATTAGTCAATCTATAATCTTATATACCAATCTAATTAACAGGAATACAAGAGAACTCAAAATAATACATAATATATTTTTTCTTGATCCGATTCAATGTAACATCAAACCGAATCCCTGATAAACAAGGGCACGCCTCTCTCTCTCTCTCTCTCTCTCTCTCTCTTCTCACTTTGTTTTTTTTTTTTTTTTTTGCATTTTGATCCCTTATAATTTTTATATTTACAATTAGGTCCTGAGATGGAAAGCAAAGAACAAAATATTGCATTGTTGATTGACGATGCATTGCTTGAGACATCTCGATCGGAGCTGTTGGGTCGTAGGACAATTAAAGAAGACCTGTCTTCGCATTGCCTAAATCTGCATTCACTCAACTCAGTTCTTGGTCGACAACAAAGTGATCATCAACGCACCGCAGTGACCTGCAGACGTTGATGTTTATTACTGGCTTCACTAAAGGCCATAAAATCTACAGGCCCTGCTTATGTTTTCTTCAAGCAAAACTCGTCTTCGTCTTCCCAACACAACTCCTGTTCAAAACCAAACAATCTCCCTTCTTATCTTCTCCTCCTCCTTTTGTCTCCGCATGCAGTACTGAAGTCAAGAACACAAACGCCGTTTGTCTTGTCTCAGCAGCTACACTTCAGATTCTGATGGCTCCTCTCTCCTGTCATATCACATGGTATATCTGTACTACTTGGAACTATTGATTCATCTATGTTAGCCCCACACATCTTCTTTATCAAACCAAATAAATTGAAGCGATCATCCTAATCGACTATGTTGCATGGCAATTAAATTACGTGGTTCTTTATGACTCGTCCACTAAATGGTACGTGCATGCAGCTCACGCGGTGCAAACAACCATGATCATGGCAGTGAAGGAAAGAGAGAGAGAGAAACGAACCCTACTTATATAAACAGTAGTGAGCTGCATTCGGCGATTGATGTTCTCCAAACGAAAAGTTAGGTCGGAGGACATGGTGATTCCTATGACACAAAGGAATACGATCATCGTGGTGTAATGTGCATCTACCCTCGGGAGTCATCCATAGGTTGATGGTGGTCACGTCAACGTAGAAGAAGGGTGGGTGTCACATCACACCTCGTTGATGTGAGGCATGGAATAATACCCTCCTCAGATGATACCCAATTTTAAGCCGAGATATGGGCCTCATTTTTATCATTTGGTCATCATCATGAATGCATGCCATTTATTCATGCTCATGCTTAAGCTAATTGTTTACGAAAGCTGAAGCCAAAGAACTAAATTAACATAAATAAATAAAACATTATTCTTCTAATATTTTTTTTTTCTGGCCATGGGGTCCCTCTAGTTCTGGATGGGTCGCGTGGGGGTTTATGCAGTGGAATGGGGGTGTGCAGCTTCCTCTAGTTCGGTCTCATGGCCGAGTCAATTGAGAGGCTCAGAAACCCTAGCCATTTACTTCGACCAGTGTTTGGCTTCGGTTTCAAGTCCCTTTCTCCATCACCTCATGCCTTTGATCACTGCATCTAATGCAGTTTACAACATGTCTGCACTCCTTCGCCCTAAGTGATGTTGCATCATCCATTTTGGTTTTCACTCGATTGTTCCGTACATATAAACACTATGCATTCAACGACAATTAATTTTCGTCTCTTTGTGCATTAATATATCAGTGTCTGTCTCAAACTACATTGTCTTGTGACTATTATATTATACAATGCGGTCGAATATGTTACGAATTATATCATATTTGTCATTTCTGCCAACCACCTTTTATTCTTGCCATTGCCATCATCGTCAAACCGTCAATTATAATATGTGCCTTACCGGTCATTGTTCTCTCTTACCTCTCCCCTCTTCCTCTCCCTCTCCCTCCGAGGGGTAGAGAAATGAACTGTCATATAATAGGCCAAAACGAACAAGACTTTGCCCTCCAAGTCTTGCAACATCTGTACATGGCATGTAGTTAACAGGCCGGGCATGGATGACAGCAGTTTTCGCATCAAATTCGACCCGTAGTAATGGAAAGCCTCGTCTTTAGACGACACCATGCCAAACCGTGTCACATGGAGTTGCAGAGGAGCTTGCAAGAGCAGGGACCCATCTTATCCTTCCATCTCCGAGCTCCCTCCCATAGCCTGCTCGGGGACCAGTGATGCATGTACGCCCCGGTGACAACTAACATGACGCCGCACCTTCTTCAACCCTCCGCCTTCTCCTCGTCCCCCTCTTCCTCATTCCATGGCCGAACTCGAGCGGGACACCGCGGCGTCAACGACGACGACAACGCCCACCAAACTCGACACCTGCGGTCACTGCGACTCCCACGCGATCCGGAGAATCCATGGGAGGAGCAGAGGGCAGGTGGTCCTTCGTAGGGGCAGCAACTGTGACCTGGATGTGTACTTGGGAAGGTGGTGTGTGACATGGTGAGCATATGATGTTGTCGCCGGTCTGGCCTCGAAAGACGCTTGTGTTGATGAACAGGTGCAGCGTCGTGCTCCTCGGGTCGACGGCCGGGGGTAGAACAGACATGACTGCAAGGACTACAGCGGAGGTCGGCCGTCGATAGCTAGGCTTCATTCATTCATGGTGGGACTCTCGTCGGCTCACACGTCGCGAGGGGTACCGACGAGATGAGGTGCTCATCCCAACCCTCTGTTTTCGACTGTATTCAGATGTTACTACAATGAAGATGTCGGTCTTGGATCAAATCCATCACATCACACGAAACATCAAGTGATTTTGCAGCCGCAAGTGTCACGTCAGAAACTATTTGAGAAGCTGTGTGATTGAGTACGGGTTGACTGACTTTATATGAGAATGGTCTCGTTTGTTCTTATCCCAAGGAAAAAACTATAGTTGGTTTTCTGCCTAAATCTCATTGGGTTGCACCGGTTCAACTGGTCCGATATTACAATGTTCATTACTACTAAAGCAAGATAGCGAGTGTTAATCAGCACAAATTCACACCAATCTCATATAAGATGATTTATTTGAGAGTTTTTGAATGGTTTTAGATAGAAAATTAGGACGGATTTGACATGTCTCAAGATAAAATAAAGGATAATGAAACATCATTTTTCTCATTTATTATTAAATTTAGATCTATGTAGTTTATAGAGTTTGATAATGTGCGTAGAAAGAGATTTGACAATGTGTAGAATCCTCCAATCCTAGCATCAAACAAAGCAAAATATAATTAATAGACCTTGATGCAAGGGCATTCACTTTGCACAGGTCAAAATTGACCTGCACTAGTTTGAGAGAGTCAATGCACATTCTAAGAGAGAACTTCTCATGGCCATACAATTGAAGCCAAATAAAGTCAACTAAAACGCTAATAATAGGCTAAGATCTATGGATCTAAATCCAAGACCTGACATATCACAAGCAGGAACACAACTTGCTCTGCTCTCAAACCACAAAAATGATTCAGGTATTTGAATTCCTTCACCATAAACTAGAATGGCTCCTCAAACCAAGCTGATCAGTGTTGCAGCAGCACTGTAAGCAACACAATAAATGGGATTCTGGGACCTCATGTGCAATTACACTTCTTAAAAACCAAGCTCTGTTTTTTCATGAATTGAGTTTTACTCTGACATTGCATCTTAACTGAGTGTATTTATTCAATTAATCCTTTAATTTTCTTGTTCCATAATATGCCAAAATAGCTTCTTCCTAGTTATTTAGAGAGGCCTTTTTATGTGACTTATCCTTTATTTTCTTGTCGCATAATAAGCCAAGATTACTTCTTCCTAGTCATTTAGAGAAAGACCTTTCTATGTGACTTATCCTTCATTGTTTTGCTCCATAATAAGCCAAAATTGCTTCTTCCTAGTCACTTAGAGAAAGGCCTCTTTATGTAACTTCCTGATAACATTAATGCTTAGTACGCTAGGATGTTAGGGATTAGCCAATATAAAACACCTATATGTGGCCCAAAATATTTAATTCCAAATTAAAAAACACTCATTAGCCCCTCATAAATCAATCAATCAATCAAAGTCCTTAGACACTCGATGTGGGGCTAAATCAAGGATATAGCATCCCCCCGTCTCTCTTCATGTAGAAAAGTTTATGACCAGGTAGATGCCAGTGGAAGGGCTACTTATGTTTGGACATTTCACATAGCTTGGAGTATCAAAAGACCCGCGTTTAGCAGGTGGATTGGGATGGGGAAAGCTAGCACGCCCAGGTTGATCAATTGAGATTCTGCTAGACTTGTCTTGACATTGTTGGATGCTCAAGAAGAAACAAATGGAAATTCCACAACTGAAGGATAACCTACACATGATCGCAAGAGAACGATAACCTGAGGGATGGCATTTACCTTCTGAACAGAACCGAGTATTCTGTTTTCTTTCTCTTACAACGGATTCTCTGATACAAAGTACACATTGAGCGAATTAAGTTCATGGAATGGTGTGGTGGGAGCTATTGGTTAAGTTTTGGTGAATATCAATAGTACAGGACATGGTGTCTAACTTTAAATATAGAATCCTGAGTTGCAAGGAAAGATATGAAAAAAGTCCAATGCCTGCTAAATGTATCGAATGATAAGTCATACCGAGCATCCTACGACTAGCAGTTCTGCGTGTGCTGGAAACTCCCATGTTGCTGATAAAATGGGGCCTGCATGAGCCAGACACCTAATTAGGAACCTTTTATGTTGGCAAATAAATAAAATTATCACGGTGGATGTGGCACATCAACTGGATCACCTGGTACATTGAGTTTGAATTCATCATTGTAGGGCTGGGCCACTGCACATAAACAACGTCATTTATTTTCTGATTACACCCAACAACGTATGCATTGACAGTTGGGTCATGCATGTTGTAGTTCAAATTGTTTTGATCCATCGGCAAATGACCAAACAGAGATATGCCTCCATCATAGTACAAATATGCAGGCTGAAAAATACTGTAAACCGGCATGCTGAAGTTCTGAGAAAGTGGAAGTCCTCTAACATACCTGATAAATTGTAGGTTAGTTATAGTACACACCAGAAGGAAAGGATAGAGACAACCCAAAAATAAAAAAGTTATGCATGTAAAGTTGGCACTGCACCTTTCATAGCTTCGATCATAGTCTGGATCAATGCGGTCCTTTTCCCGGTCTCTGAAAATGGCCATTCTGGAAGCACCATCTTTAGAATTAGTTTTCTCAATTTCTTCAACAGTCTTCTGGTACTCCACATCTCTGCTCAAAAACAAGCTTCTTCCATCGACTGAAATAGGGGGTGATGGCCCTCCAACCTCAGGACTGCTAGAACCACTAAAGATACGGGCCCGGGCTTTGTCATACTCTTCCTTCCGCTCTTCGACGGTTCTCGTTGCACTTCTTTTAGCTCCTAGATGATCAGCATCACCTGGGGAAGCTATTTTTGATCTCGGACGAATAGCAATCTTAACTTGCTCAATTATCTCGTTTTCGGGTACTTTTGCAGGTAGTTCTGATAAACAGACATATGGAAACTTACTATCTGGTGTTTTCTTTGCCACTACCCTGTTACCTAACCCATCTACAGCATCCTCTAGTGCCATGGTCTGTAGACCGAAGTGTTGAGCAACACGATGAGCAGCACATCTTAGATAAGAAGTTGGTAAATGCTGAAATTCAAATTGTTGCTGGTCAGGATTCTGCATGAACCTCTGGATGTCCAACTCCATACGCAGAACTACAGTTTACAAGCAGACAATTAGTTATTCGTAAGTGCAAAAAAAAAGGAAGGCTAAATTAAATCTTTTTATAGGAAGTTTATGCAGCAAATACTGAATATCATTAGCGTACCACATTGAATATAACACAACTACGCCCCCAAAGCACCAAGCATTGTAGGCTCCCAGTACTTTCAGGATACCATTTTGGTCACCCTGTAGGCTGAACAAGATCATAAGATCCATTCTGCCACTTCCCACATCCAAGCCAACCTCTTAATAATTCTAGTGATGCAAATACCATGGCAATGATGAGGAAATATTGTCTGTAAGCAAAAGCTTAATGCACATAGTTACTAAATCCATAGTTCCGAAATGTGGTTTATGCGTTCCCATAAGTGTCTGTGATCATATAACCACACTGTCGAGGGAACTATCCAGCACAATATGCAATCTAAGTGCATATGCAGTTATATGGCAACATAAGCAGCCACATACATTTAGGTGGCCTGCTTGTGTGACCATATGATCTTAGCCTTAATCTCTGAGTCATCACCGTATAGTCCTTACAAGGACCAATATCATCCAAAATTGGTATCATGGATGCCATCCCTTGGCTGCTCTATATGAAACCAACCAACTCCCATTACCATATTGTGGAAGTCCTTACATGTGATGCAAACCAACTCAAGCAATTTTCTACTGATTTTCATTGGTTATTTTTAAAGATCAATTAGGACCATCTTTGAGTTAGTTTTGAGTTATAATAAGTGTCTAATAGATATGGAATCAACTGGTTAGACTAGATAGATAGAGATACAAATGGTAACGTAAAGTTGTTGTACGAAGGAAAAATAGTGTGAACATAGCCGATTAAAGATCCTGAGTGTCCAGTGTAGAAATCATTGCCAATGGAAATCAGAGGGTCCTTCAAAGGACTAAAATTTCTCAAGGATGTCTCATGAATTCAAAGCTTAATGCATATAGCTAAAATCATAGTTCCAAATGAGAACTATGCACTGACACAAGCATATAAAAAAGATCACATTCTGGAGGGTCAAAAAGATCACATATGTGATCTAAATGTATATGCAGCCATATAACGGTAGACAGGACTGGCTATGTGGTCAGCACAGACATGTATAAGCAGCAGACACATGTACCATAGTACATAAATATGTGGCCAGATATGCAGTCAACATAAGCATAAATATGTTTGTATTAGAGTGCTATTATTTCCACAATCATCTTATTTCAATATTGTAAACACCATTGTCATTACTACCACTACCATAATTATCAGCATCATCATTACCACATTAACCTTCATCGCCAGCTACCATCGTGGTAACTACTACCATCACGACTACTATCACCAGCACCACCATTACCACTCACCACCACAATACCCAGCACCATAATCATCATATCCAATGCTGCTATTATCATCAACAGCACCACTACCTCCACCAATGACCATGTACGCTAATAATGTTGCCGCAGCCACCACCACTAGGTACCATCACTAACATTCTTGGCAGAACAATCAGCAACATCTGTCGATACTACTATACTATCACCACTGCTACGATCATCACCAACAACCACTACCACTACTACTACCTATCATTGCCATAACAGCCATTGTCATTGCCACCAATAGCATCAACCACGACCACACCATGATTGCTACCACCATCTCCAACCGCCACTACTTGCATAACATCCACCATAACTATCACCGATAATAAACACCAAACCACCTTAGATCTTTGATCTTTGTTACAATCTTTGACATCGAGCACCAATAGAACAAAAAGGAGTATATATCAGGAGAGAAAATGATAGAAAAAAGAGTAACTTTTAATTTCTTATGGAATGAATATGTCAATGAAGAGAATGGTGTTGCCATGGGATTTATGATAAGTCTAAAATTCCATCAGCGCTGTCTTCAAAATAATTTTTTTCTTAATTTTTCTAAAGACTCTAAACTAAACCTTCACCCACCTGGTGATTACAGAAACATCAAGACTAGAGTAGGTCCATCACTATCTTGAAATATGTAGTGATAATCCATCAGTACTCTCTTCAAAAGATTTCTTTTCTTAATTGTCTTACCTAAAACTTCACCCACCTGTTGATTAGGGAAACATCAAGACTAGAGTAGGTCCATCACTATATTAAAATATGTAGTGATGATCTTTAAAACTTTTATATGACATTGATGTAAACACATCTCTGTAGAATAATTGATGTAAGCATAGCTCCAATACAACTGATGCAGTACTATTATGCCAAATAGTAACAAGATACAAGGAGAACTTTAATAATTTAATTTAATCAAACTAAGGAAAAAAAATCAAATATCATTCTATTAATCAATGGTCTTAGAAATAACTAAAACATTTGCAAGAGGCATTCATAATGAGACTCAATTAACCAAAACTAGCTATTCGATATCAGAAACAATAAATATCTCTACCAGCAATAAGTCTAGCATAGCTCTAATATCAACTAATAAAGGCCTGCTAAGACAAATACTAATAAAATGCAAGGACAACCTCAATTTAATTGAAATCCAAGGCAAAAATTTCAGATATCATTCTATTAATCAATGGTCTTAGGAATAACTAAGACATCTACAAGAGGCATTCGTAATAAGACTAATTAACTCAAGCAATTTATTCAATAATAGCAATAATAAGTGTTTCTACCAAAACAACAAGCTATATCTGTTTTGAAGAACCCAATATGCATCTCATCAACAGAAAAAACAATCCAAAATATAAGAAAGCAAATATCAAATCCATATTCCCCCAAATCAGATTATAAATTTCAGACCAAGGATGAAGAGATGACAGATCCCTGCGGTCAATAAAACACAACTCACGTATTAACCCACATGTTGTTAGCCATATTAGATTCAGAATTCAATATTTGACTGGCAAAACACGAATCGATCAACAAGTATCACACACTAAACACAATGGAACACAAACCCAACACCAAGCGCACTTCAACGGACATGACATGTACCAATTTCCAACTCACAATTGTTCGATCGGCCACCTGCACCTCCCGTCAAGGAACGTATCCAATTAATAAACCAAGTACGAGCCCAAATTCCGAACCCACCACAAATAGGACCTTCAAATCCCCATAAGCACAAACCCTAACGCACTTAATCCGCCAACCATTCTGAGAATTGCAACATAGAACAAGAATTGAGAAAACCAACCGGTAAGGCGGTGGCGAGGATTCTCGAGGGCTTCGATGAGGAACGGATCCACCTGGCCGAAGATACTCTCTCTCTCCTTCTGCACGGGGGCTGCAGCAGGGGAGGCGCCAGAATCGGCCGCCTGAGGCTCCATGAGAAGGAAGGAGGGAGGAGAAGGGTGAGAAGCAGAGAGAGAGAGAGGGAGAGGAGCAGGCGGAGTACGCCTTACGCTCGCCCCTCTTCTTTCCCCTCCTCTCGCGTCACCTCGCTCCTTTGGGGCAAGAAATAAGGGTTTTAATCGCGCCGACTTCCCGGCAGTCGGCCCCATCCATATATTATATTCTCTTTCTTTATATTAATAATTAATTTATAATTGCCAAAAAGAAAAAGAAGACCACGAGATAAATAAAAATAATAATCTATTTTTGGTTAATGGAGTCGCTCAGATCCCATCAAATCGGAATAACAACACCTGCAAATTTAAAAAAATACAAATTATCTAATTATCTAGAAAAGTCAAATTTTTAGTTATATAAATATTTTCTTTAATACTGATTTTTGCTCCTAACAAGCTTGATTTTGATTTTTTTTAATTCCTCAAAAACCTCTAGTTTCAATTTTTTTTTGGACCAATGAGATTCTTATAAGTAGTCTTTTTTTTTTTTAATAATCTCTCTTTTTGTTATTTTCCTACTCCTCTCTTTCATATTTCTCAAAGGGAGTTTCTATTTTATCATAATTATTAAAATTAATAAAATAACTAAAACAGTAAGTTATATCATATTAATGAATACATAGGATAAATCAGTCTAATTTATTAGTTATAAAAATTTTAAATAGAATTGTTGTATTTTATAAATAATATCTCACTAATTTATTGTTATTATTCTTAAAAAAAATCTATTTGAAACCTTCTTTTTTAAATGAGTTGATTTTTATCAGCTTTTGAGTATATTTACTTCAATTATAATATTTTAAAATAAATTTATAATATTTTAATGAATATAAAAATTACTATGAGCTTATTCAAAAATTATTATAAGCTTGGATATAATATTATTAAAAAAATATTATAAATATATTTTTGGTAAAGACTTTGACAACTTAAAGATATTTTATGGATTATGATAAATATGGGTGTCCTTTGAGATATATGAAATGAAAATGCCTCTAAGCTCCAAAAGAATATTTTATATGGGAATTCATCCCCTTTTTATTCATAGAGTTTTCTTTTTAAAAATTTTTCATGAATGCCTCATTTTTTTTTTGTAATGATATCAACATATCTCTCAAATTATAAATATAACTTTATTTGAAAAAAATGAAACATTATATTAATTTTTTAAAGAAATAAATAAAAATAAGAAAAATAAGAAAAATAAACTATATAAAAAAAAAAAACAAAGGTTCAGGTACTGATACCAAAACCCATCTTCACCTCCTTATGCTTTATAAGAAAAAAAAAATGTCCTTGTTTTTGTAATTTTTGTTATAGAACTAAAGTGGATACAATAGACATGGCTGAAAAATTAATAGAGTATAGAGATATAAATTTAAAAATTTAAAAATGGTAAAACATTATAAAATAACATATGGAAGGCACATTGAAAGTTGAGTTACTTAGTTTTTCAAATATAATATAATGAGTTAACCATCTTCAATTCTCATATTTTAGCATGTCATGTAGATTGTACATGAGTAGAAATTATATTAGTTTTTATTAATTTTAAATATTTTTCATTTTCAACCCTCTTATAATCAATTGTAACATGATAATTATTTGAATGAGCATCATTCAAAAATTAATTGGTGCATCATTATAATGGTAAAATTTTTTGTTAGAATAAATTGTTTTGTAAAATTTCTCCTATTATTTTACTCTATAATGACAGCAATGTTTTAGAAATAGGTGCCTTACTATTGAGGGAAAGAAGAGGAAGGCATCATCTCAATCAAAATCTCTTGGTTTTGCTGCATTGATATCTTACATATTGCATGATCACTAATATATGGAACGAGACAAGAGAGAGAGAGAGAGAGAGAGAGAGAGAGAGAGAGAGAGAGAGAGAGAGAGAGAGAGAGAGAAGCATAGAACTATACCCAAATTCTACTTCATAACGTATGGATTGAAGTGTCTATCCACTGCAGTAGCTTATTTAGTCATCAAGTATGCAAGACTACGTAACATATGGAAAACGTAAAGGAGCAGTGTTGTGCCATTTTAGCAATACTTTCTTCCATAAAGTTACTCTTACCAGTAGCTGGATGGATTGGAGAAAGATGGAGTTTACAGAGGCCAAGCAGTACTAATTCTCATTCATTGTTAGCTTGAATGAGTACCGACATATAGCTGAAGGAAGCCCCTCATGTACAATCCCATACAGCTATCACTGGGTCCCTGATCTCCTTGTCGGGCCTCTCCTTCGTCCACTCTCGCCTCTCCTTCCACTATTCCTATCTATATGTTGCCAACATCGTCACCAAACCAAAGAGAGAAACACTGAGAAGAAAGAAGACAGAATGGCCTTCCATGCACCAACTCTAGCGCTACACATACTCCTTGCTCTCCTCTCCACCTGCATTGCGCAGTCCCCAAGCGCGTCTCCCACCTCCTCTGCCGCACCGCCGGCATCTCCTTCCATCGCCACCCCTCCGGCCGTTGCGACACCTCCGGTTACCACCCCTCCTCCCGTCGCCACACCTCCCCCCGTGGCCACCCCACCACCCGCCACCCCGACAATGCCTCCTGCGACAGCCCCCACGTCGTCGCCACCTTCGCCAGTTGCTCCCGTAGCTGCTTCCACTTCTACTCCTACAGCGGCACCTGTGCCGGCTCCCGCGGCAGTTCCGCCATCCCCGTCCACTTCTCCATCGACGTCACCATCCCCAACTCAATCAACGTCACCTAGTTCGGGTCCCGAGGCGACCGCACCGTTGCCATCGTCTCCCACCGGCAGCGGTTCGAGGGCGTACGTGCATGGAGGCAGCAAGGTGGGACCGTTGGCGTTGGCTGGTGCAGTAGTGCTGCTGCTGTAGAGAAGCCTTTGTTCTCTTAGACTTGCATGGGTGGCTTTTCAGTTCACGGATTCTGTGTATTTCTGCTGGTGTGATAACTCATCTTCATCCTCATCTCGGTTTACTTCGTTGATTCTTGGAGCCATTTGAGAGGAGATCACTGGACACTGCACTTGTATGATTTATTTGGGTTATTTCAGTTTACAGATTGTGTGTGGCGATGTTGGTGCAATGAACTCTTCTATTTCTTTTCGTCCTTTTTCTTGGTTTCGTTCATGAGTTATGGTGGGGCCATCGAGAGCAGACCAATGAACTCTTCTATTTCACGAAGGACTCAATGCACAGTAGAGAGGTAGAAGTCAATGCAGGATTTATTTTGCCTACTAAAACAAAGTCCAAATATGATAATTATGACACATTCTCTAAATCTCTCATATAATTTGGTCGAAAGATTAAAAGGACATTGGAGGTGGGACACGAAACACATGGAATCCTAAGGGAGGCCACAGCTCACCGGCCATGCAGAGAGACATGGCACGTGTGGGGGTCCGACGTGTTTGCCTCACTGGACATCAGGACTGGGGTCCATGATGATTAATTCATTATGCATCTAACATTTCATCAGTGGACGCAAAAATCAAATGCCCATAAATTGAGCCGTAAAGGCCTACGAATTAGATGGGCTCGATTTGGTGGTCCTTTGACATATCCAGCTTCGAGGCCATATTAATTTATTTATTCTTGCAAATAAATAAACATGTGAAGAAAATTGTCCGTAATTAACGTCGTTAAATATAAATCGCTTTCCATCGCAAGAAAAAACACGAAAAGTATTTTGGATGTACATGTAACGGCTGTTATCGTTTCCGTTATATTTCTTGCATACGTGGCAAGGCATCCGTCCCGGAAACGTTTCGATGGCCGTCAAGTTTGAACAAACCTGATTTTTTGTACCAAAATACTTGTCCACTTGTTTCTTGGCCGGACCGAATACTCGTTTCTTTATTGGGTCATTCATGTGGGCCCCACGTGGAGATCCTAAGGGTTTGTCTCTGTCTCTCGCATTTTTTTGAATATCGATACTATAGAAAGGAGAGAGATCCATCGGGCCCGATCCCCAAATTGTCGGAGAACTCCTCGAAATCCCTTCCAGAATCCGTCGGGAAGGCCACAGCGGCTGCGAAGCCGTCCCCCCTCGATATCCCGCCATGAATCCGGAATAGTTAGTGCAACATTCTTTATCCTGATCGATTTATTTTGTTTCGGTTTCTCTTTTTGGTTGCTTGTTAGGTTTTGCTTGCAAATCTTCTTGTCTTTTAATTTTTTGTGGATCCGTTCTGTCGTGTGATCTAGAGGTAAGCAGCGTCTTGCCGATGCGATACAGAATTCGTGTTTGTGGGCCTCGATCAAGAAATTGGGTGTTAGATTGGCTATGTTGACCAATTATATTGGTTAGATCTGGTGGTTCGGTTTGAGATCTGATCTTGGTGTACTGTTATCGTCGTCGACAAGGGATTCCCACCTGGTCAAATAATAGTACCTCGATATTAGTCGGGATTGGGTTTTGTGCTACCTCTGTTGCTAACGATTGACAAAGAGTATTTAATAATCTCAATGAAATAACACTAACTTATTGTGTGATGTCGAATCGGTATGCCATCTTTACTCCTTCCTATGTAGTGTAGTTGTTCAGTGGAGTTTGGGCAGAATCACTGATTCATAACTGCCCTCTCCTAAAATCATGGAGTCGTCTCTTTTATTATGGATGAGTTGATGGTTGAGTTAATAAGTTCTATTGAAAGTTCCGAAAGTTCCTGACTTCTCAACCAAAAACGTTGCTATTCTTTGGATAAGTGAGCATAACTTTTTACATGGATACTGATCAACGTTTTGTTTATTTGATGGCTCCGGACATACTTCAGTATGCAGTTTACTGTTTATCTGTGATTAGCAGTAAGTTGGTCTTTTTTAATGTATTAGTTGATATAGGTTTTAGATTTTACATGTTCTCTTTCAAAAAAATATTATTCTGTTTTAGATCTTCCTTGAGAAAATCTTTTAGTTTCGAGTTTATGTTGCTTGCTACTTGTTTCCCAATCTTATTAGTTTTTGTTTATAATCTTTTATCGACCAGCATATACAAAAGCCTTGCACATCTTTGTATTTTTTTGGTATGCTACTGTTCACCGACCCCAACCTAATTAACCCATTAAATGCATAGGTATGTTACTGTTCTCACTGTCTTTGTGGTATTCAAAGTCAAATTTCCATACCTTTATGATGAGGTTGATATGAAACTTGATTTGTAGAATTAAGCTGATATTCTTGATACAAAGTACGAAGACATAAGTAGCAAAGTGGATTGGTTTGTCAAAGGCTGAAAATTTTCCAGGCTAGTTTTCCTGTGGTCTTACGTAGAGAGAGAGAGAGAGAGAGAGAGAGAGAGAGAGAGAGAGAGAGAGAGAGAGAGAGCATCATATCTGCCTCAAGGAAGACTACTCACTCTAGTTTGTATATTGACCATGACATGAGTCAGCAGTTAGATTATTAGCAGTTCTTCTGCGTTGAGGTGCTATTTATAAGTTGATCCTGTTAGATTTAAGTGTTGCTAAGAAGTGTTTGAAAATTAGTTTGTTCTTCTGTATGAAGCATCCCTAGAAGTCTAGAACTAATTTGTACACTTAGAATCATCTTGACCTACCTGTGGCTAGTTGTGAATAATATTCTGCTCCTTTTTAGCACATCGTGGTTGCATAGTTGCAAGATGTCATAACAGAATGTATTATTACTTTGATGTCTTTCATATCTGTCTGGTTATATGTTATTTTTTTGGCCTTCAGCACATCAGTGATAACCATGTTAGCTTCTACTGTGGGAAGACTTGTCATCTACTGTGCCCTAATAGTAAAATGTATTTCATGTTATTGTCAGATAACAGAGGTGTAATGCTATAGATACAAGAAGCAAATATATTGCAATTATTGAAACAAAGTTTTCTTGTCCTTAGTGGATTATGTATGTTTTGGATTACATGAAAGCAGCTTATCACAAGAGTGAAACTTGATATTCAGCTGATTGGAAATTTTAACTTTATTTTGTTCTTTTCTTGCAGTGATTATCTATTCAAACTTCTACTCATTGGAGATTCAGGTGTTGGCAAATCTTGTCTTCTCCTGAGATTTGCAGTGAGTAGCAAGATGTTATTTTCTATTTTTATGTAGCTTCTTCTGAATTTACTGCTAAACTTTTGACCCAGTGTGCTAGTTGATTTTCTGCACTATTTTTGGACTCTTATTGGTTGGAACAGCATACTTAGTTGCCACCCGAGTAGCAGTTTCTTTTTTTAAAATTGCTTGGGCTTACCTGATGTGAAGCAGAATTGGAATGCTTTCTGTGTTTCATTTTTCTCTTTTTATATGCAACTAAGTTCTAGGCAGTTAAAGCATTAATATGCAGTATTTTTTTGGCTGTTTACATAATCTAATAGGAGAAATTGTATGTTGTTGTGAGTTATATGATTCATGGATTAATCACTAAAGAATGGAACTCATATCACTCAGTCTAGGTAGTAGATATTGCTGTTCTTAAACTTTGGCTTTTGAAGCATTTACTTTGTTTGCATTGTTTAGGCATGGTTTGCTCAAATTGTGGGAGATTTATTCTAACCATATGGGCCTTGGAGAAGAGTAAAGTTAAATTTCTCAAGGTTGTCATATGTTTGAGACAATTGGTGCATATGAGCTAAAGATCATCTATAATGGAAATATTAACATTTTGTTGAGTGCAAATAAAAAATTGCTTAAAGTTGTGTTTGTTAGAAAGCAAGTATGATCCAATTTTGAACTGAGGTTTGATTTAAGAGTCTAATCCAATATAGCTATATGCTTAAACTATTTATTTGTATCGTGCCTTAATATCATCAAGCCAAATTGTAAATTTGTCAAACAGTAGATACTTTATTTAGAGGTCAGAAAGTTAGATGATCATGCAGTTAGGTTTGTCATGAGTGGATAGAGTCCAGATTAGATTGTGGTATATCAAAATTCCAATTGTTCCGAGAATGCAAAAAAATATCTAAAGACCAATCCAAATTATCTAAAGAACATGAGCTTTGTTTCAAAGGTTTGATTAGATCTGTTATGTCCTATAATTACTTATTTGCATTCTAGCCTATGATAAGATTGAAGAATCCGGTTGTTCTTGTTTGATATCATGATATTCACACATATTGTGGAAGATATACCTAAAAGTTCAAAGCTATCACAATCCTCATTTGAATGTTGCAGAAACTATAAATAATTTCTGTTCTATAATTTTTCTTATGTGGTAATCATATATTCTTTTTCTTGTTAGGATGACTCATACTTGGAAAGTTACATCAGCACCATTGGAGTTGATTTTGTAAGCAGAAGTTTTATATTTCTATGCAATATTAAATGTCTCCTTAAAGCTTGCAATAACTGATGTTTCCTTTTCCCTCCTTTTCAGAAAATTCGCACTGTCGAGCAAGATGGAAAGACCATTAAACTTCAAATTGTGAGTGTTCTGAGTCAACTATGATTCTGAATAATATGTTGTCAGACAATGTACTTCTTTAACTTGACATACTAACTTTAACTTAGACAAGCATTTTGGATTATGTGGCTTAGGTTGTGAGTAAATGGATTTAATTTCTCATGAGTTTGGAACTTGACAACTGGTACCTACTACTAGATATAGTCAGAGAGCCCAAGTAGGTAAAAGCTACTCGTGGACGGGGCTAGAGGTATATAACACTATAGCCACCATTGGTGATACCTCAGATATACTATATAGTAGGGCATGATTCTAGGCTAGCTTTGGCTTAGTGAGGTTTAACTCATCAAGCCATTAAAGTTGGAAAGATCGTGATGCCAAATAACTCTACATTGGAAGTTGAGGATTATTATGATGTTATATGGGGTAGATGAATCAACTAATCTTAACTTGAACTTGAATACTTCTAGAATATGTTCTCCAGTCTCATCAAGTTAATGCATCCATTTTCTCTTTAGGCTAGATTGTGAGAAAAATTGCACTAGTTTTGGTAGTTTTTCTCTAGTTATTTTAGCCCTCAGCACCAATATCCTTAAGACTTAAATGGACTTTGACCTGCTTTGGCATTAGGTCCACAGGATTCCATTTCCGCTTCCAGTTAATTTGATTGGGAATCAATGCCTTGGAGGGAAAGGGAAAGAGGAGGGTACATGAATGAAATAGGTAAAAAGGCCACTGACTGATATAAGCACAATTTGAGCAATATGATGAACACACAAATTATTGGAGTATCTGTCTAAGCAATGATGGCCTTTTCTACTCACTGGAATTTTGTTGAGAGAAGGGTTTGACATCTAGAATTATTTGAGAAAATGAGTAATCTCAAGAAAAATGAATGGCATGTGTAACAGGTGACTTTGTTGGTGAGGAGTTATGTTGAAGTGGGGGATATTGGTCCTGTGATTGAGTCTAGAGGTTACCTTTGAAATCCTATGGGAAAATGCATTAAAGGAATCTTTAGCAACTGTGGCATCATAAATGGTATTGACATGAGTGGCAGACTCATGGTCCAGGAACATAGACAGTGCTTTTAAGGGTTGTGTTTTGAGGGTAAAGAAATATGTACTCTAGATTCTTTCTGTATAAGACATGTAACATCCTTCCCACCAGTGCTGATTTCCTTGTGAACTTGCAATTTATACTAAATAGTTCATGGAGCTGGAAGACGGTGTTCTTTCATGTTGTGTTTTGAGGGGTAAAAAATTCTTTTGTTTTGTTTATATAAGACATGCAACATTCCCTGCCACCTGTGTGAATTAACTGATAAATTATATAGTTGGTGGTTAAATTGTTTAATTTTGCAGCAATGATTTTAGTGTGGGTATTGGGAACTCTGATCTGACTTGTGGCACACCTAAGAGGTCCTGAAGGTGTCAAGTTGAATGGGTCAACCTAGCTAAACAGCAGTGTTTTAAAATATTATTGAAGGCAATTTTTTTTTATTTCCTATTTTTCTATTGTGTTTTGGAAGACATGATGTCTTTCTCCTTCATGATGAGCTTCCTCTTCTTTTATGATCACTTACGTTGACAGTGGGATACTGCTGGGCAAGAGCGATTTAGGACAATTACAAGCAGCTATTATCGTGGTGCTCATGGTATTATTGTAAGTTTCACCTTTGACTTTAGTAATAGTTCCATATTATGCTTTGCAAGTCAAATTTGATAACGGGGTTGCTCCTCCCTCCCTCCCGCGTGGCAGATTGTCTACGATGTGACAGACCAAGAAAGCTTCAACAATGTAAAGCAATGGTTAAATGAGATTGACCGCTATGCGAGTGACAGCGTCAACAAGCTCCTGGTTGGGAACAAGTGTGATCTTACTGCAAACAGAGTGGTGTCCTATGAGACAGCTAAGGTGATCCATTTTCTGTTACTTTAATCTCCTATTGTAATTTCTCTCTTCTAAACATATACAACAGGTCTTGCTATCAGTTGTTACGGATTGTCAATAATGTAGTTTTTGATACTCTTGAGCGTTTGTCACTATGAGAGAAAAGGTTGGATTCGATATTTCTGAAGCATGAAGCATGTATAAACATACAGGGATTCTGCAGAAAATGTCTTTGTTCTTGTTTTCCCTGATAAATATTGATTGTATTGGTTGCTAATTCCTTGTCGTTTTTGCAGGCATTTGCTGATGAAATTGGTATTCCATTCATGGAGACTAGCGCAAAAAATGCTACTAACGTAGAGCAGGCCTTCATGGCGATGACAGCAGACATAAAAAACAGGTATCTCGGCCTCATCCTTAGAGTTAACGATTATTATACTTCCTGTAGATCCAGCTATTCTTTTATTGACAATAATATATTCTCAATGGCTTCAGGATGGCCAGCCAACCAGCCATGAACAGTGCCAGACCGCCAACAGTTCAGATCCGTGGGCAGCCTGTGAGCCAGAATACATCTTGCTGCTCATCTTAAATTTGGGTTGTAAAGCTTTATTAGCTGTTTGTCAATGTTTAGATTTATGCTTTGACCTTTATTCTCCAAAATTGGCAGCATTAGTCAATTCTTATATTTGTTATTAAGATTCAACAGTTTGATGTTTGGTCGTAGAATCTGTTCCTTTGCTTCTTCTGCCTTCACTATGTAACTTTCCAAAGCCAAAAGATTTTGGACATACTTTACCTGCCACATCAATTTCCTGTGTCTCAAAATAAACTGGCCTTTGGTTCGTCTATGTGTAATGACGTTGTTATCTCTGTGAAATCAGCTCAAGATGCTTCTCAACGCTGCTGGGCCTAATGCGTCCAAAGGTTTAGCCTACCTTCAACGCTGCAAGATTTGCAACTCATCTCCATATTTCGACATAGTATGCGAATGCCATATACATGGTGATTCCATTGGTTTTTTTTTTATTTTTTATTTTCTTGCAATTTAGATTTTTTAATTTTTTAAATTAAATTTAATATATTTTTAATTTAATTTTTAATATATTAATTCATATTTTGATTGTTCGATATGGATGAGGAATTAGAGCCAATCGAGATCCATTTTTAAGTTAGTTTTAGGTTGTGGTAGTGTTAGGATCCGAGTCAAAAGCTTATGTGAGGATTATACACAACAAGGTCCCTTTAATACTTAAGCTAGTTTAAGTTCGAAGGAAATGTTAAGTCTTGCAAAGTAATTAGCTAAAAAGGATCAAACACTTTGGAGGAGCGTTTTTGTAGCGTGACACGATAGTTGGGTGGAGGTTATGGTTAATGCTAGGAATAATTATATGCATCCTCTTGTCACAAATGAGATTGTGAAGTCATATTGGCAAGGAGCAATGCAACCAAGGTGTTCAATCATATCTATGACATTCCTAGACTTTTGTTTTTCCTTGTTTTTCAATGTTTTCGAGTGTTTTTATATTTCATTGTATTTTAATATTTTTGAGTGTTTTTATATTGGCAACATTATAGAGACAAAAGGTGCTATGGTTAGTCGATTTATTGTTAGTGTTTTTTATTTTTTGTTTCTATTATATAAAACTTGAAAATATTTCTAACTATGTAAAGGGAAAAATAGTCAAAAACAACCCTATTCTCATACATCACGAGTTAATTTTGATTGACGATTTTGTGATGTAAAATGTCAGCTGCCTTAGCACCTTGGAACCCTAGGTAAATTTTGTCCTTTTATCATGTTAATGGCGCCTGATAAATTCTGAAAAAGGCAAGTGCTCCCAAATAAACAAAAATTATGAAGGATATTTTTCGATAAATCATCCTACTCCATTTATTCCATCCACATCCAATTTCCCATGGATAAAGAGTAGGATTAGATCACCTATTAATAGGAAGCAACTAGAGGTTTAGACAACAGGCTAATTCTAAACACGTTCACTTATTTTTTTCAACAACTAATTGGATAACTTATTATCGCGAAGGACCATTGTGCACCTGTAATATCTTCGTCAACGAATTATTCATCGCTTTTGTTTATTTGTACATATGCTTTGACAATGTGTTTTGCATTGTTTTATGTATTTTTGTTTGAAACCGTAAGCAAAAATAATTTATAGCATCATAGAACGATCATTCATTAGAATGATCAAAATTATCCCAAAATTACTTAGTCTTTGTGTGTCGTGACCTATTTTCTGTAATCTAGATATGGTGTGAAATGTTAGCCATCTCAGTACCCTAAAAACTCCCGGGTGGCATAAGGTTGAATCGGGGTTTTGGAATAGTATTGGGTATTGATTGGATTCACAAGTTCGCATGTTAAGCCTACGAGAACTTGCCAATGCGCCCAACACCCGGTGAGCAGTCGTTTGCGAATTTATGACTATTCATTTGTATTCTAAAGTCTATATTTTCTCCTTTCTCTTTTTTCTCTCTTGTATATCGAGTGTTTGCTGAATTGCTTGTAAAGCTATCATCTTCACAAGATGTCAAGACTTGTTTGCTACTTGCTTTCGAACTAATCAATTTATTCTTTTACAAGTTTTTCGGGATCTGAGTGAGGTTGCAACTAGACTGACCCTTTGTGGATGGATAACGCAAGAGTGCCTTATGACTTAGGCAATTTCAGCTAAGTTTATGACATTGTGGTATCAGAGCGAGCAAGCAATTCGAACAAATAGCGAAAGTTTCGTAATCTTACTATAGCGAAGCATCGTGGCGAATCGAGCAAAATGGGGCAGGCCGAATCATTGCCCCAAGTAGCCGTAGGTAGGCTGTAAGTGCAAACTTGCTCTTAAGTTACTAGAGCTGCTCAAGAGGAGCGCTACAACAAAAATAACGAGCGAGAAGTTGACTATTCTTCGTGAGCAAAGGAAGCATAATCCGAAGCGCCACTTGAGAAAAGAAGCCATCAGGAAAGGCTTACAACTACGAAAACTCACCTTAACGTCCTTAAAGTGAGTTTGTATGAACTATACCAAGGCCACAAAGACTTATTGGGATAGAGAACTCGCAGGAGGAGACAAAATCTTAGATCGACAAAGTTGAGTCCCAAGTAGATAGACTGACAGAGGACACCAAAGACTCCATGCAACACCTACACGAAGTCATGGTAAAACTCATGTCCAAGATTACATTACTCACAAGGTCTCTTAATGTGGGAGGGAGAAACGCCCATGTTGCTTTGTCACAAAACTTGAAGACACATGAGCCACATTACTATATGGGTGCTAAGGATGCAAAGGAGCTCACAAATTTTTTGTTCGACATGGAACAGTACTCCCGAGCTATAGGGCCTAATTATGAAGAAACCAAAGTTTCAATAACAACCATATATTTGAATGAGGATGCAAAACTTTGGTGGAGAACACATTGAAAAGAGATCCAACAAGGTCAGTCTTGAATGGACACATAAGAAGAATTGAAGCGAGAGTTAAGAACTTTGTTCCTACCTAAGAATATAGAGTTCGTCATAAGAAGGAAGCTGAGATAACTTTGCTAAAGTACTTCCATTCAAGTCTATGTAAAGTAATTTTCTATACTGATGCTAGATATATAAGACATATCCGAGAAAGACAAGCTATTCAACTTCCTCGATGGCCTGAAGTCGTGGGCACAACATGAGCTGCATCGGAAGAATGTCACAGATGTAATTGGGGCAATCGTAGTTGCAAAAAGGCTCACCGAGACTTATAAAAAAAAATTTAACTTAAAAAAAAAAGGCTCACCGATTTTATTTTTCGGAGGACTCAAGGAAGAATAAACAATCTTTAAAAAATTGCCCATCCAAGTGTTCCCAAGGGAAGGAGTCCAGAAGTGAGCAAAAGAAAAAGAATTTCCACAAAGGGTCAAACTCAAAAGGTAAGGCTCCAAAACCTAGGGGATTCATGTTGCATGGAGGACCGCACATGATGATGGAATACCCACAAAAATAAATACTCAATATATTAATAGTATCAATCCACCCCCCTAGATCGGACAAGGGTAAAGCTGTCACCCTTAGTTCGAGTAGTTCAGAATCTAGCAGCAACGATGAGGACTCACAAGGACCTCAGATATGAGCAATACGTTTATTGAATGTGTTGCAAGGTCAAGTGGGGGAGAGCATGAACATAAAACAACAAAAAATAGGGAGCAACAAGCTGATGTACATGAACATCAAGCTAAATAGCCGAACAACCCATGCGATGGTGGACACATGCGCTACCCACAGTTTCATTACCAACTGAGAAGCAAGGCAACTTGCACTAAACCTAGAGAAGAGCCCAAGTCAGATGAAGGCTGTGAACTCGGAGGCTAAGCAGATCTCTGGGCTAGTAAAAGGAGTCCCATCAAGAGTGGGATGTAGAGAGGAAGCACAAATATGATGGTGGTGCCACTGGATGACTTCTAAGTAATTCTCAGAATAAAGTTCATACACACAGTGAAGTTGAAGGCGACGACCCCTACGTGGTTCTAGTTTTTTAAGAAGGAATTAAAGATGCATAATAAACATTGATATTACAACTAAAAAAGAGAGTACAAAAAAGATGAATTAATTTTTGTAGCCATAATAAAGTTGGAGCCACTTAACGTGGAGGTTAATTATAAACCTACTATGGTGGTGAACATTTTGAAGGAGTTCACAGACGTCATGCCACCTGAGTTGTCGAAAACTCTACCACCATGCAAAGGCATGGATCACTATATAATTAGAGTCAGAAGTGAAGCCTCTAACAAGAGCACCATACCGCATAGCCTCTCCAGAGTTGGTAGAGCTCAAGAAGCGATTAGATGAACTACTAAATGATGGTCTCATCCATAGTTCCAAAGCACCATTCAGAGCTCTAGTTCTCTTCTAGAAAAAACAAGATAAGAGCCTCCGGTTATGCATTGACTATCGGGTCCTGAATAAAGTGATGGTGAAGAACAAGTATCCCATCCTACTTATCATGGACTTGTTCAACCAACTAGGCAAGCAAAGTATTTCTCCAAACTCAACCTTTGGTCAAGGTACTAGTAGATGTGCATAACTGAAGGCGATGAAGCGAAGACTAACTATATAACTAAGTATAGAGCATTCAAGATCTTGGTGATGCCTTTCAGGTTAACTAACACTTCAACCACATTATACACTCTCATGAACCAACTGTTCAAAGAGTATCTCGATAAGTTTATGATCATATACTTCGATAATATCATCATCTATAACCAAACGCTCAAGGAGCATGTCAAACACCTTCAAATAATTTTTAAGACTCTTAGGGAGAACACATTATTCATGAAAAAGGATAAGTTCTACTTTGCCCATATGGAGATTTTATTTTTGGGGCACTAAATTAATGAAGGTTCCATCAGGATGGATAAATCAAAGGTGTATACTATGGCAAAGTGGCAAACACCAAATAAGGTACCGGAGCCGAGATCATTTCTTAGTTTAGTCAACTATTATCGATGCTTTATAGTTGGGTACTCGAAGCACACAACTCCACTGACGGAGTTACTAAAGAAGAAGTAGCCTTGGTGATGATAAAAAAAAATATGAAGTGGTATTCCAAGACCTAAAGGTTGTTGTGTTGGAAGAATCGGTACTCAAATTACCAGATAATGGGAAGTCTTTCGAAGTCCATACAAATGTTTCAAACTTCACTATTAACAAGCACTTATGCAGGAGGGTCACTCGATGACCTACAAGAGTCACAAGCT